GCTTCAGGTCTTCTCGGCCACGGTCATTCCCTCCCTTCTCTACGCTTGTGAAACGTGGACCCCCCCTAATGGAACATCTTCGCCAGTTAGAAACTTTTAGGCTGGCCTGCCTATGATCAATCCTGGGTTTAACCAGGCTGGATTGTGTGAGGAGCTCATAAATCCTTGAAAGATCTGGGCAGGGTCCCATCGGTGAGCTCCTCCGGCAGGCAAGGCTGCGATGGCTGGGTCATGTAGCCCGCATGCCCAGCCACCGCATGCCGAAACAGCTTTTGTTCGGCCGGATTGAGGGGCTAGAGAAGAGATGGAGTGATGTGGTACAGGAGGACGTGGAGCTGAGTGGACTTATGACTGGTACCAGCGGTGTCAAGATCGGCCTCTGTGGAGGAGGCTCGTGAAGGATGCTACTGGGCAGTTGGAGGCAGTCGCCCTCCAACAACAACGGAGGGCGGAGGAGCGACGCTCAAGACAACGAGCGGAGCGCCGGGTGGCTAAAGCACAGCAGGTTGCCACAGTAGGGTGCACAGGTGGTGCATCAGCCAGTCATCTCAGTCAGTCGACCCGTGGCACCTGGGTCTGCCCCGTGACCTCCTGCCAGCGGGCGTTCGACACTTCACGTGGCCTCAAGGTGCACATGGCCTGGCACAAGCGTCGTGGTGACGTCATCATCACTTAGTGGCGAATGGCGGTTGTTGTTGTTGTTGAGTGTTGTCTCCACCTGTGGGCAGTCCTTGATGTAGTGGGCCCTTGTTGAAGCACAGGTGTAGGAGTGAGTGTACAGGTGAGCGTGTACAGCTGAGTGCAGTGAGTGTGTACAGGTGAGTGTAGCGAGTGTGTACAGGTGAGTGAGTGTGTACAGGTGAGTGAGTGTGCACACGTGAGTGTGTACAGGTGAGTGAGTGTGTACAGGTGAGTGAGTGTGTACACGGGGGCTCTGGACGGGTGCGAGGGGCTGGTAACCCCTCCACCTTCAATTAATTACCATGAAACTACGAATTCAACTGAAATATGTAACAACTAAGCTTGTGCCGGAGGCCCCGGGGGGCCAGGCGTCTATGACGTCTCCTGGCCAAACCCCAATTGGCGGAGCCAGGAGATTGAATACCTACCCTCGGGGCTACTCCAGAAACAACGAAAAGCCACTACGGTTGGCCACGTGGAATGTTCGAACGCTCACTGCAGAGGAGAGGCTGCCACTCCTCTGTCGGGAGCTGGACCGGTACCGCCTGGATCTATGCGGCATTCAGGAGGTCCGGTGGACCGGCTCTGGCTCCTGCCACCATGAGGGGTGGACAGTCCTCTACTCGGGGCAGCAGACTGCCATACAACAGGGTGTGGGTCTTCTTTTGAACAAAAGAATGAAGGGGGCGTGGGAGCGTGGCGGTGAGGTGTGGGAAGCTGTAAGCCCCAGGCTACTTTGGGCTCGCCTTCCCATCAACCGGAGGCGAGGAATGGTGGTCGTGGTTACTTATGCCCCCACCGAAGATGAACATCCGTGGAGGGATGCAGGCAAAGCCGATGAGTCAGATGCCTTCTATGACCTCCTGTCACAGGTGCTGGCTAAAGTGGCCCCTCGGGATAGAGTCATCATGTTGGGTGACTTCAATGCCCGAGTTGGTCATGATACTGGCACCTGGTCTGGAGTGATTGGAGGGCATGGGCCAGATCAGCTCAATAACAACGGTAGGAGGCTGCTAGATTTTTGTGCAGCCCATGGGCTTGTAATTACCAACACGCTGTTCCGGCATCGGCGCATCCACACAACATCATGGATGCATGCCAGGTCCAAGCAAGAACATCTGCTGGATTACATAGTGACGGACCAGCGAATGCGAGCCCATGTCCTTGACACCAGGACCTACCGTGGAGCTGATCTGCCCTCTGACCATCGACTAGTCATCTGTAAGATGCGCCTGCTATTCTTCCACTCCGGTGGTGGGTGTACACCCAGGACCCCATTCCAACCTAAAGTGGCCTGGTCTCAGTTATCTGATGAAAGTTGCAAGCGAGAATTTCATCATCGCTTGCGGCTGGGATTGGCATCGTCCCCGACTCCTCCTGATGTCGAGGGTAAATGGGCGAGGTTTAGGACTGTGACTCATGCAGCTGCAATGGCTGCTTTGGGTACGCGGTCCAGACCTCCCCAGACACCCTGGATGACAGAGGAGTTGTTCACGATGGTTGAGAAAAAGCGACAGGCCCACTGTCATCGGCTACAGAATCCCACGTCAGAGAATGAGGAGGCTTACCGCAGCCTTCGCTCGGAGGTTCGGAGAGCCGTGAGGCGCTGCAAGGATGGGTGGTGGTCGCGGGTTGCTGAGGAGATGGAGTCTGCCTCAGTGGCCCGTGATCACAAATCTCTATTTAACTCCATCAAAAAAGTAACCTGCAGCGCCACACCTATTACCATCATTAGGGGAAAAAACGGTGATCCAATTTCCGACCCCCAGGAACAGGTTCGCAGATTTGCTGAGCATTTCTGTGAGATCCTGGGGGAGGGAAAATCCCTCAGCCAGGAAAACATCGTGGCACAAAGTGAGGATGACCCTGCTGAGGCTGCGGTGCCTCAAATATTGGATGAAGTCACCCCTTGTGAGTGGCTGGCTGAGGTGCCAACTGCTGAGGAAGTATTGAAGGCGATCCGGAGTCTGAGACCAGGAAAGGCAGCGGGCAGAGATGATCTCCCAAGCGAAATGCTGAGGGAGGGTGGCGTTTGTGCACAGACTGCCCTATATGACATCATAACAACAGTCTGGACCACTGGACGGGTTCCGCAGGATTGGAAGGATGCCCTGGTGGTCCCCCTTTTTAAGAAGGGGGACCGCACAGACTGTAACAACTACAGGGGCATCTCACTCCTCAGTGTGCCGGGAAAGGTCCTGGCAAGGATTATTCAGCATCGCCTTGCCAGGCACGCTGAGGAGAGGCTTGCGGAGCCCCAATGCGGTTTCAGGAAAGGGCGGTCCTGCACAGATGCCATATTTTCTGTCCGTCTGCTACAGCAGAGGTGTAGGGAATTCCAACAAGACCTACATCTCTGCTTTATTGACCTGGTCAAGGCCTATGATACCATCAGTAGGCCTGGGCTCTGGGTCGTTCTTCGTGCTTTTGGAGTACCTGACCCTCTGCTCACGATCATTAAGGACCTTCATGATGGTGAGCGGGCCCGGGTAAAACTACGTGGCCGGGAGTCAGAGCCATTCCCTGTACACCTTGGGGTGCGACAGGGATGTCCTCTGGCTCCCACATTATTTAACATCTATTTTGACCACGTAGTTCGTGAAGCCTTCAATAGCTGTACCGGGGGAATCTCCATATGGTACAGATATAATGGGAGGCTAATCGATGCCCGGGTGCGGTCAAGGGATGGCTCCCTATTGCTCAACCACGTTATGTATGCTGATGACTTGGTAATAGCTGCTCAGTCAGACGAGGAGTTGGAGACGCTGCTGCTGAGACTGGAGCGTGCCACTAAGAGGTGGGGCCTTACCATCAGCCCCACCAAAACTAAGCACCTGCCTGGGTATTTTGTACCATCGGACACTCCACCCCCACAACTCCCAATCGGTGATGGGGCAGTTGTGGAGAGAGTGGAGAGTTTCCCATACCTGGGCAGTGTGCTTATGACTGGCTCCAGTTTAACAGCAGAGGTCTCACTCCGAATCAGTCGAGCGGCAATATCTTTTCATCGGTTGCGTAACGCTGTGTGGAAGCTACCTGGTCTGTCGCTCCGCACTAAGCTTCAGGTCTTCTCGGCCACGGTCATTCCCTCCCTTCTCTACGCTTGCGAAACGTGGACCCCCCTAATGGAGCATCTTCGCCGGTTAGAAACATTTAGGCTGGCCTGCCTCCGATCCATCCTCGGTTTAACCAGACTGGATTGTGTGAGGAGCTCACAAATCCTTGAAAGATCTGGGCAGGGTCCCATCGGTGAGCTCCTCCGGCAGGAAAGGCTGCGATGGCTGGGTCATGTAGCCCGCATGCCCAGCCACCGCATGCCGAAACAGCTTTTGTTTGGCCGGATTGAGGGGGCTAAGCGGGCGCGGCACGGGCTAGAGAAGAGATGGAGTGATGTGGTACAGGAGGACGTGGAGCTGAGTGGACTTGCCGATGACTGGTACCAGCGGTGTCAAGATCGGCCTCTGTGGAGGAGGCTCGTGAAGGATGCTACTGGGCAGTTGGAGGCAGTCGCCCTCCAACAACAACGGAGGGCGGAGGAGCGACGCTCACAACAGCGAGCGGAGCGCCGGGTGGCTAAAGCACAGCAGGTTGGCACAGTAGGGGGCACAGGTGGTGCATCAGACAGTCATCTAAGTCAGTCGACCCGTGGCACCTGGGTCTGCCCCGTGACCACCTGCAAGCGGGCGTTCGACACTTCACGTGGCCTCAGGGTGCACATAGCCTGGCACAAGCGTCGTGGTGACGTCACCGCCACTTAGTGGCGAATGGCGGTTGTTGTTGTTGTTGTTGTTGTTGAGTGTGTACAGGTGAGTGAGTGTGTACACGTGAGTGTGTACAGGTGAGTGAGTGTGTACAGGTGAGTGAGTGTGTACACGTGAGTGTGTACAGGTGAGTGAGTGTGTACACGTGAGTGAGTGTGTACACGTGAGTAGCAAGTGAGTGTGTACAGGTGAGTGTAGTGAGTGTGTACAGGTGAGTGAGTGTGTAAACGTGAGTGCAGCGTGTACACGTCAGTGTAGTGAGTGTGTACACGTGAGTGTAGTGCGTGTGTCCACGTGAGTGTAGTGAGTGTGTACACGTGAGTGTAGTGAGTGTGTACACGTGAGCGTGTACACGTGAGTGTGTACACGTGAGTGTAGTGAGTGTGTACACGTGAGTGTAGTGAGTGTGTACACGTGAGTGTAGTGCGTGTGTACACGTGAGTGTGTACACGTGAGTGTAGTGAGTGTGTACACGTGAGTGTAGTGAATGTGTACACGTGAGTGTAGTGCGTGTGTACGCGTGAGCGTGTACGCGTTGAGCGCGGTGTATATCTCCACCTGTGGGCAGTCCTTGATGTAGTGGCCCTTGTTGAAGCACAGGTGGCACAGGTAGTTGGGGGGGGGCCTCTTCCCGGCCCGGGGGTTCCCCTCGCGGGAGAGGCCCAGCTCGGGGGAGAATGGCTCCGAGCACAGAGAGGCGGAGGCCAGAGCGCCGGCCAGCGACGTGAGGGACGCGTGGCGCCGCAGAGAGCCCGGGAACGGCTGAGCGGGCAAAAATTGCACACGAAAGAGACGCCCGTTAGACACGCTCGTTAGACACGCGCTCGTTAGACACGCTCGTAGACACACGCTCGTGGACACACACGCTCGTAGACACGCTCGCAGACACACGCACGCAGACAACAACAACAACAACCGCCATTTGCCACTAAGTGGCGGTGACGTCACCACGACGCTTGTGCCAGGCCATGTGCACCTTGAGGCTACCACGTGAAGTGTCGAACGCCCGCTGGCAGGAGGTCACGGGGCAGACCCAGCAGGTGCCACGGGTCGACTGACTGAGATGACTGGCTGATGCACCACCTGTGCCCCCTACTGTGCCAACCCGCTGTGATTTAGCCACCCGGTGCTCCGCTCGTTGTTGTGAGCGTCGCTCCTCCGCCCTCCGTTGTTGTTGGAGGGCGACTGCCTCCAACTGCCCAGTAGCATCCTTCACGAGCCTCCTCCACAGAGGCCGATCTTGAACGCCGCTGGTACCAGTCATCGGCAAGTCCACTCAGCTCCACGTTCTCCTGTACCACGTCACTCCATCTCTTCTCTAGCCCGTGCCGCGGCCGCTTAGCCCCCTCAATCCGGCCGAACAAAAGCTGTTTCGGCATGCGGTGGCTGGGCATGCGGGCTACATGACCCAGCCAACGCAGCCTTGCCTGCCGGAGGAGCTCACCGATGGGACCGTGCCCAGATCTTTCAAGGATTTGTGAGTTCAGACGGAAAGAGACCCATAGATACACATAGATACACATAGAGACACATAGAAACACATAGATACCCATAGAGACCCATAGAGACCCATAGATACACATAGATACCCATAGAGACACATAGAGACCCATAGATACACATAGAGACCCATAGAGACCCATAGATACACATAGAGACCCATACAGGTACCTAGAGACACATAGACCAAACTATGTTGTATGTTACCAGATACACAGAGAGACACAGAGACCCGTAGATTTACATAGAGACCCATAGACACCCATAGAGACACATAGAGACCCATAGATACACACATATACACATAGAGACCCATAGAGACCCATAGATACACATAGAGACCCATACAGGTACCTACAGACACAGAGACCAAACTATGTTGTATGTTACCATATACACATAGAGACACAGAGACCCATAGATACACATAGAGACCCATAGACACCCATAGAGACACATAGAGACCCATAGATACACACAGATACACATAGAGACACAGAGACCCATAGATACCCATAGAGACCCATAGTGACCCATAGATACACATAGATACACATAGAGACCCATTGAGACCCATACAGGTACCTAGAGACACAGAGACCAAACTATGTTGTATGTTACCAGATACACATAGAGACACAGAGACCCATAGATACACATCGAGACCCATAGAGACACATAGAGACCCATAGATACACACAGAGACCCATAGAAGTAACCTAGAGACACATAGATACGCATAGATACACATAGAGAAACATAGATACCCATAGAGGCCCATAGAGACCCATAGAGACACATAGAGACCCATAGATACCCATACAGGTACCTAGAGACACAGAGACCAAACTATGTTGTATGTTACCAGATAAACATAGAGACACAGAGACCCATAGAGACACATAGAGACCCATAGAGATACATAGAGACCCATAGAGACACATAAAGACCCATAGAGACACATAGAGACCCATACAGGTACCTGGAGACACATAGACCAAACTATGTTGTATGTTACCAGATACACATAGAGACACAGAGACCCATAGAAACCCATAGATACACATAGAAACCCGTAGATACACATAGAGACCCATAGATACACATAGAGACCCATAGATACACATAGATACACATAGAGACACATAGAGACCCATATAGATACACATAGAGACCCATACAGGTACCTAGAGACACATAGAGACCCATAAAGACCCATAGAGACTCATAGAGACCAATAGATACACATAGAGACCCATAGATACACATAGATACACATAGAGACCCATAGATACACATAGAGACCCATAGATACACATAGAGACCCATAGATACACATCGAGACCCATAAATACACGTAGAGACCCATAGAGACACATAGAGACCCATACAGGTATCTAGAGACACATAGATACACATAGAGACCCATAGGTACACATATATACACATAGAGACCCATACAGGTACCTAGAGACACATAGACCAAACTATGTTGTATGTTACCAGATACACATAGAGACACAGAGATCCATAGAGACCCATAGAGACCCATACAGGTACCTAGAGACACATAGACCAAACTATGTTATATGTTACCAGATACACATAGATACACATAGAGACCCATAGAGACCCATAGATACACATAGAGACACATAGATACACAGAGAGACACAGAGACCCATAGACACACATAGAGACCCATAGATACACATAGAGACACATAGAGACCCATAGATACACATAGAGGCACATAGAGACACAGAGACCCATAGAGAACCATAGAGACACATAGAGACCCATACAGGTACCTAGAGACACATAGACCAAACTATGTTGTATGTTACCAGGTGTAAGGTCCAACTGAGTCACATTTGTCAAAATCTCGACCTAGCCATCACACGTAGTGATGACAGCTCAATCGAGTGGCTGATATCATCATCAGAACCACCGCGTAGAGAGTTTAAAGCAGCAGCCAAATAATCGAAAACGCGTAGAGACGTCTATTCTTAATGTGGTGGGTGAAATAACCAGAGACGCAGACTCCAAATATACAGCAGCAGCAGGCATCAGGGTCGGGATTTAACCCACGACTTCCTGTGTACCAGGCGAGGTAGTTAACATCTCCTAGCCACCGTGATGATGATGAGAGAGAGAGACACGCAGACTCCAAATATACAGCAGCAGGCATCAGGGTCGGGATCGAACCCACGACCTCCTGTATACCAGGCGAGGTAGTTAACATCTCCTAGCCACCGTGGTGATGATGATGATGAGAGAGACACGCAGACTCCAAATATACAGCAGCAGGTATCAGGGTGGGTATCTAACCCACGACCTCCTGCGTACCAGGCGAGGTAGTTAACATATCAAAGCCACCGTGATGATAATGATGATGAGAGAGAGACACGCAAACTCCAAATATACAGCAGCAGCAGGCATCAGGCATCAGGGTCGGGATCGAACCCACGACCTCCTGCGTACCAGGCGAGGTAGTTAACATATCAAAGCCACCGTGATGATAATGATGATGAGAGAGACACGCAAACTCCAAATATACAGCAGCAGGCGTCAGGGTGGGTATCGAACCCACGACCTCCTGCGTACCAGGCGAGGTAAGTCAACATCTCAAAGCCACCGTGGCGTTGACATCTGGAGAAGCAAGCAAAGCAGACCAGCCGCAAGACGCAAAACGGGACATCGAAAGCACGCGCGCGTTCAGGACAGGCGCTGTGTGACTGCTGGAGGAATTGGACATTAAAAACTACAAGGACACTTTGGACATCGGCAAATTCGAAATGTTTTGCTGCATCTCAGGTGGACCCGATAGGAAAAGATTTCACCGAGAAGAAGACCGCCTGGTGACTTGGGCAGTGGTGAGAAGGGAAATTGACACTACTTGGACACTTGCACGCGTGGAGGAGTAGCATGGACAAACAGCAGCTCCAACACTGCACGCACAATCGACACCGGGGAGGAGGATGAGGAGGAGAGAGACACGGGGAGGAGAGAGAGACACGGGGTGGAGGAGGAGAGAGACACGGGGAGGAGAGAGACACGGGGAGGAGGAGGAGGAGGAGAGAGACACGGGGAGGAGAGAGACACGGGGAGGAGGAGAGAGACACGAGGATAAGGAGGAGGAGAGAGACACGGGGAGGAGAGAGACACGGGGAGGAGGAGGAGGAGAGAGACACGGGGAGGAGGAGGAGAGAGACACGGGGAGAAGGAGGAGGAGAGAGACACGGGGAGAGAGACACGGGGTGGAGGAGGAGGAGGAGGAGGAGAGAGACACGGGGAGGAGGAGAGAGACACGGGGAGGAAGAGGAGAGAGACACGGGGTGGAGGAGGAGAAGAGAGGCACGGGGAGGAGGAGAGAGACACGAGAATAAGGAGGAGGAGAGAGACACGGGGAGAGAGACACGGGGTGGAGGAGGAGGAGAGAGACACGGGGTGGAGGAGGAGAAGAGAGGCACGGGGAGGAGGAGAGAGACACGAGGATAAGGAGGAGGAGAGAGACACGGGGAGAGAGACACGGGGTGGAGGAGGAGGAGAGAGACACGGGGTGGAGGAGGAGGAGGAGAGAGACACGGGGAGGAGGAGGAGAGAGACACGGGGAGAAGGAGGAGGAGAGAGACACGGGGAGAGAGACACGGGGTGGAGGAGGAGGAGAGAGACACGGGGAGGAGGAGGAGAAGAGAGGCACGGGGAGGAGGAGAGAGACACGAGGATAAGGAGGAGGAGAGAGACACGGGGAGAGAGACACGGGGTGGAGGAGGAGGAGAGAGACACGGGGTGGAGGAGGAGGAGGAGAGAGACACGGGGAGGAGGAGGAGAGAGACACGAGGATAAGGAGGAGGAGAGAGACACGGGGAGAGAGACACGGGGTGGAGGAGGAGGAGAGAGACACGGGGTGGAGGAGGAGGAGGAGAGAGACACGGGGAGGAGGAGGAGAGAGACACGGGGAGAAGGAGGAGGAGAGAGACACGGGGAGAGAGACACGGGGTGGAGGAGGAGGAGAGAGACACGGGGAGAAGGAGGAGGAGAGAGACACGGGGAGGAGGAGAGAGACACGGGGAGAAGGAGGAGGAGAGAGACACGGGGAGAAGGAGGAGGAGAGAGACACGGGGAGAGAGACACGGGGTGGAGGAGGAGGAGAGAGACACGGGGAGGAGGAGGAGAGAGACACAGGGAGGAGGAGGAGGAGAGAGACACGGGGAGAGAGACACGGGGTGGAGGAGGAGGAGGAGAGAGACACGGGGAGG